TACATCGAGAATTTAAATGCCAGAATTAAACAAAAAGAAAGAAAAGGAAAATGAAAAGAATATTTTATAAAATATATAAAATGTCGAATTAAAGAATATAGAAACTAATTTATCAAAATACTTTAATAATATAATTAATTATCCCGAAAATAGGGACGCTCACCACGATTACAAAATACCGTATCACAAACATTATCATGAATAATTCAAGAACCGGTTCCTTATATGTTGGCCAGTCGGTATCAGACACAGTGAGTCACTTTTTAGTTATTAGCTAGTTTTAATGAAAATTGTAAAGTGATAAAAAAATATCGTCAGAAAGACTTATTACTGTGTACGAACGATACCGACTGACAAGACGTAACAACTCGAGCTTATATAATTTATCTATAATCGAGAGGTACCCTTATAAAAATTTTTCACCATTTTTAGATCTCATATGGACCGTTTTTAATCCGTTTTCAGCCCGTTCTTGCTCGTTTCTTACACTCGCAAGCACTCGCAGTGTATCATGAAGGAACGATAGTGAATATACACGAGTACGCAATGAATATTTTTGAGGAGATTGTCCGTTTTCAATACTCGTTTTTCCGCTGATGAACGACAAACGTATACGTGAGTATTTTTGAGTGAATCGTCCGTTTTCAATAGGGACCCGGACCGGACCAAAACCGGAACCGATAACCGATTCATAACTGTTATTTTAGTCGAACCGAAACCGAAAACCGGACCGAAATATTGTACAAACAAACGGACCGAAACCGTAACCGGACCGAAAACTTTTTTTCGGTTTTCGGTTCATTTTTCGGTTCGGTTTTCGGTCAGGTTTTTAAAATGTTGCGTGAAACGGAACGCGCCTCAAGAGTCACTCTAGAGTGCGTGCACTCATGACGCTGACATATAAAGGCGCCTTTGGAGTGATTCTATTTTGTTCTTATCAATCATCGTTAAATAAAAGGATAACGTGATTTACGGTGACACACGAGGCATTGAAGTGAATCTAAACACTCTATTGCGCTGTGGATTATGGATAGGGATGCCAGATCCGAGCCGAGAGGGTTACGTTAGAGCTCTAGATTTACAAGAGTAACGCAAACTGCTCGCCATTTTTGACCTGTGCACGGTGCGAAATATAAACGAGATATAGGCTGCCTTCACTCTATGTGAAGATTGAGATACAGGCTGCCTTCATTGTATGACAAGATCGATTGTATATCGAGTGTATACAATTACATTTAAGGTTACATTTATCAGCATTAAGCAGATGGATTGGTTACACTCTCTTTTTACTCCAGTGTTAATCATGCTTTGTAAATTGTACTTGTTGCAGTCGATGATTTAAAAAAGTTAGTTAAACGTTAATTTTAAATCGCGCGCGATCCTAGCTGTCACTAAAGCTGTCGTCACAAACATAGGTTTAAAATAGCGATCGAAAAAAAGATGGGCGAAAACGTCAACAAAGGTTTGCGCTACTCTTGTAAATCTAGAGCTCTAGGTCACGTCAGTCGCGTGGTGGGGTTACACACACATTGACGATGCACGTGCGTAAGCGCTCACGGACGTGCATCGTCAATGTGTGTGTACCCCCACCACGCGATTAACGTGACTTTCTCGTCTTGGATCTGGCAATTGGTATTCCTGATTGTGGACACTCGACACTGTACGTACTTACGTAAGGTTTGTTTTTTATTGCAGCACTAGAACTGCACTAGAACTGAACTGAACTGAACTAGAACTGAGTTAGGATACAGTGCAAATAGGCAATAAAGAACATTATAGTGCAAAGTAACGGACATGGCGGAACATGTTCTATTGGAATTATTAGATTCATCTGACGAAGATGAAGTAGTAATTCCACCATTAGAAGCAATTTTAATCGAAGATAATAATGGTTAGAAATACAAATGACATATATTATTATATTTAGATATTACATATATTATTATATTACATATATCAGTATTATTGTAACATACGCAAAATTTAACCTAACCCTAAGTTTTTAGAATATAACGAAATACAAATATTACATCCACAATTACAGTTAATCAGAAGAATTCAGCACAAAAAGTACAAAATTATATCGAAAATATCGTTACTAATTATGATAACAGAGATTTTATAATGCATTTTCGATTATCCGGAGCAATAACAAACGATTTAATAAATCGATTCAGAGTATCCGATATATTTACTTCTATACAAAGTATGTTTTTATTTAATAAGAAGTTATATTATTTCTGTACCCGATATATCTGCGATATCCGACAAATTTAAGCTTTTTTTCTAGACTACGAACGGGACTAAGTGATTCTTATAGATGAAACCTTATGTAATAGAGCAATTTTGTTTATGGATTCGTTTAGAGCGATAAAAAATCTATAAAATTCACTTAGTCCTGTTCGTGGTCTAAAATCCGTATTAGACAGTATTAATTAATACATAAATTAATAATTAATAAAAATATTAACCGATAAGGAAATAGAAAAAAAGCTTTAATAAATATTTATTTTATTTTATCTTTTTTTACATTATATATATTTTTTAGATCGTGTACGACATACAAAAGTAACAGCTGAAAAACATATTTTATGTAATCTGTGGTTTGTTGGGCACGAAAGTTCATCTTACCGGGATGTTGCTGATCGTTTTGATATCACAATAAGCACTTTATACCATATAATCACAAGAGTGACTGAATTTATTATGACTTTGGCACATAATGTTGTAAGATACCTAACAATAGCAGAAAAAGAAGAAACATCAACTTACTTTTTTCAAGAAAAAGGATTTCCTAGTATAATTGGTAATGCATTCACACTTATATTCATTATTAATATATTGCAAGGTTCTTATGAATATAAATGAAATACAAATAATGCCAATATGAGCTGACAAGCAGCTGGTGTCAACTCGTACTGGCATTATTTGTATTGGACTTATATTCAGGTTTTGTTTGTTTTTTTTGTGTTTTACTTATACATTACTGTTTTTGTAGGTGCTATAGATGGTTCCCATACAAGGATTGAACAAACCAATAGAAGATGCCGATTCTTATATTAATAGGAAACAATTTTTTTCATTACATATTCAAGGGACAGTTAATCACAAATTACAGTGCATTACGCATACTCGCTCCTCGTGGGGGAAGAGACGGGTTATGCGGGACTCTCCCCCAGACGTAGCCGATCCGGGGGCCTACCCACTAAAACCCCAGCGGGTGACCCGTTCCTAGCGCTGGTTGGGATCTAGCCGGGCACTTCGATGCTGTAGAACTTCCGGCCAGATCCCACGCGCGCCACACAAGACTGCGCAGTCCTATCTCCATGACGCGAGAGTGTCACCACCTTCCCGCGTCACCTGTATCTCGCATCATGTGAGATGGTGGGGGACAAGAATTCCCCACAGTTGCTCGCCCCTGTGATGCCTGTGAGTGGAGCCGGCGTCGTCCGGCTCCGCCTACTGTTCTTCTCTAGGACAATCACCTTCCTCGCCCTTTCCGCCTGTTCTTTTTGCGACATTACAGCGCCGCAAAAGGTTAAAAAGGCCTCTCTGCCCTTATCACCGAGCATCGCTCGGATGATGGCGGGCCAGGTGAGATCTGGCCCAATAACGCCCGTCAAGCGGGCCCTCTCCCCCGTCCAAGCGGGGCAGTCTCTTTAGCATGTGGGCTGCTGTGTCGCTCGCAGCGGTGCAATACCACCACCTTTCACTTGTTTCCTTGCCAATGCGATGCAGGTAGCGGCCAAAGCAACCGTGGCCGGTTAGCACCTGCGCCGCATGGAAGGTCACGCCTACTCTGGCATCGGCCCACCTCTCTAGGTGGGGCCTTATAGCCTCCAAAACTCCGCCGTTCCCCCTCCGGGGCAGTCAGTCCCGCCATGCCAGTGCCAGCTTTTTCTTGGTTTGGCCCCTTATGTGATCGACGGTCTGCGTCGGTAAAGGGCTAAATATTCGCTCCTTTAGTTCCGTCACCCTAGTATAGACTTCCAGGTGCGCTTGTGCCGTCAACTCCAGCGGCGGCATGCCGGCTAGGGCCGTATTTATCGCATGCGATGACGTGCGGTATGCCCGGATGATCCGCCCGATCATCCTCCTCTGCGCGGATCGCAGCGCCCTGAGAACCCTTCAGTTTCCCCGAACCTGCGGCGCCCAGAT